TCTTGAGATTAACCCTCCTTTTATATGACCTTTTAGTTTCAAGATTATTGATATGTTGTAAGGCAGTAAAATAAGGGCTACAATTCGCTAATATTTTATCGGAAGTTTCGTCATTACAAGTGAAAACCTCTCATTATTCAAGGTATTGTCTCCAAGTTTCATTTTAGCCTGCGTGGCAGGCGTTAAAGTGCAACTAACCCCCCAATTTTTTTTTTCGCTGAACGAAATCTTCTTATCATCCTGCTTACTTGTGCGAAAAAATTTTGGTCATAGCGTTTTTCCTTATTTTTTTATAATTTTTCAAAGTTTCAAATTTTGGCGGTTCTTACGGCCACTACCGAGCTCTGTGGAGAATGGGTCCGAGTGTTATTGTGACGTCATCGACCTTGAAAAGAGAAGAAAAATTAACTTTCTGCATTTATTTTTCATAGAACAACATGCAAAATTGTTACCTTTTTTGTTAATGCTAGTCGATTAGGTGAAAAGTTAAAAAAAGGTACCTTTCTAGGAGAAAAAGGCGGGTATTTTAAGCTTTCGAGTGAAAATCTTTTAACGCGAAAAAGGCACCTTTTTTGCGGTTGGAAGCGATGTTCTCATAAGTGCGAAAAAGGAACCTTAAAAATAAATGGCGTTTTCAAACTATATTTAAAAGCCGTTTCAAATCCTACTGATTGACAGATGTCAACCGTTTTGCGCCATTTGTTTTGCTTCAATTGACTGACCCACTAGTCAATAGACAAATATGGCGGAATATATGGAAAGCAATGTTACTTTAATAAGGAATCTCATTGAAGACAATAAAACGTACAAACATGTCAGTGAAATTCTCAGACAAAACTTTCCGGAGTAACAAGAGGCTTTTCAGAAAGAAACGTGCGATTGTTTTGTGCTAAATATGGGATAAGACGACTGAACGAATACGAAGTGGACTCACGCTGGGAAAAAAAGTGGTAAAAATCGGCCAAAAGATTGAGTGGGGGCGTGATAGGCACAAATAAAAGCTTTTCAGGCTCACTCTGGTGTAAGTAAGGGGGTCTCAAAGGGATTGTGGCATTTACGGTTAATGGCTTTACTAAAGGCTTCGGCTTGCGGCTCAAAAGTCACCCGAGGTCAGATTCGAAATCTAGTTTGCATTGTTGCAAAACAGTTTATTAAACCTCTTGGCTGAAGTCTCTAACAACCCGTTCCGGAGTGAAAAAAGGCACCCACGAAAAAAAACAGTTATTATGATAACCTGCTCAGTTTAGACTTAAAAGAAAAAAACACTTCTCTGCTGTTTGTCGTAGATCGACATAGAATTTGATATATTTTTTTCGCAGATTAAAATGGTTCGACTTTTCATATAGGACATTTTTTAAGTCTTCGCTCCACGCCTAAAAATGGGCCGGCTTGCTTAGGTCCTCTACATGCATCTAGTTTGAAAAAACCAGTAGCTATTTCATCCATTTGGATGGTAGCCAGTATTTTCGGATCTCTTCAGTCTAGTTTCTCAATTTTGATCGGCTAAAAGGAGCCAGCTATTTTTTTTAGTCCGATAATTCACCATAGTAGACCCTCGTCCACGTACGTAGGTCGGAAAATATGCCAATAATGCACGACGCGATAATTATAATATTGCGCGTCCGAGCCATTTCTGTTAAATAGCCGGGGCCACTGAGGAATAGCCTCCCATACAGGTGTCTCTAGGGCAGTCTAGGATGGGTTTTGCTCGTTTTAATTAGATTCGGGACTGCGAAATTCGATTGTAGAAACGGGACATAGATTCCCCTAAAAACGTCTGTGTATTTTTCGTTGGGGGCGCCAACGGTTGACATCTGTCAATCAGTAGGATTTTAATTGAAATTTTCATTTATTTTCAAAGGTACCTTTTTCGCGCTTTTGATGAGATTGCTTGTAACCGCAAAAAAGGTGCCTTTTTCGCTCTTTTGAAGAGATCGCTTCAAACTGAAAAAAAGGTACCTTTTTCGCGCTTTAAAGTTTTGTTTGATAAAGTGAGTTCGCGGCAGATGTCCTCCTTCGATGACATCACAACAACATTCGTACCCAGCTCCCACGAACCTCGGTAATGGGACACAAGAGACCTAACTTTAAACAGCCATGGAAACGCGAGGATTTTGTCAATCACGATAATTTTTTCGCAAAAGTAATCAGAAAAATAAGGAAATTTCATTTAGCGAAAAACATTTTGGGGGGTTAGTTGCACTTTAAAAAGGAAAGGGGAAGGTGGAATTTGGGCGTGAGAGAGCGTGTACGAAGGCTAGTTTCATTTTAACGTGAACAGCAGCAACTAACAATGCATTTAAAATATGCAAAAATGCTAGCTATTGTTCTGCACGAAAATATGAAACTTGGAGACAATACCCCTGAATAATGAGAGGCTCTCACTTGTAAACACAAAATTTCTGACAAAATATTAGCGAATTGTAGCCCTTATTTTACTGCCTTACAAGATATCAATAATCTTGAAAATAAAAGGTCATATAAAAGGAAGGTTAATCTCAAAAGCGGTTTAAAAATTATTCGCTAATTTGTTAAAGAAGACCAAAATGTTTACAAACCGCTAAAAAGAGCGCTTCGATACATACTTATCAAATCCTTCTTTCTAGCAATCGGCTGGAGTTATCTCCATGATCTTTCAGACACGGTTTTAAAAAGGTTGAAACTACTGTGAGGTGAAATTGCATGTCAAAGCGCTTCGTTTTCTACAGATAACAGCTGAATATCACCCGGCATAGTAAATCGAACGTTCAAAAATCGAACTCAATCCGTGGATTGAGTTCGATTGAGTTCGGCAATCGAACGAAATCGAACACCAGACTTTCAGTGAGTTCGATTTCCGAACAAATCAAACTGGAGACCGAACGGAAACCGAACTCAATCGAACACAATTTAATGGATTGAGTTCGATTGGCTCTGGTAAACCTATACAAAGCAAGCCCAAAGCAAAGCAGAATGCACAGCCTTTCTCGCCTATTTTCTTTAAAACCTTGAAAACTTCGCCATCCTCTGACTATGCCGGAATATCAAGATTGTCCATTTTCTGCCGTATTTCTGACCATAAAAACTTTATCCCAAAATGTCTCGATAACGCTCTTACACATTTCGCTTAAACCTCACGTACATCGAGGCGGCTGTTGGAGGAAAAAGCTACCGTGAACGAGTTTGGAAGAAAAGTTCCCAGTGCCAAGCAATACTGCTGCAAGTACTAAAAGTTATAGCGTCTTTTCGTTGCTATGGCAACTCCGATGTTATTGCAACCCTGATCATAACAAATTTTCATCTTTATCTAATACAACTGTGGTCGCAATTTTTCCAAATCTTTGTTTATGGCGACGTAGTTTTTGCTCAAACTTGGGAGATACTGATCCTGAAAAACTGTATCGAGCCACCTTAACTGCGCACGCACATGTCATTGTATCATCTCCCGATACATCAATAACAACTTGTGCCTACATACTGTACAAAACACTTTCCATAAAGTATACTATATCCCCTATATATCTGCACCTATAGCCCTTCAATTAATTCGGTCACTTACCTCGACGTACTGCATTGTAGCTGGAGGTTCAGGTAAATATTCATTTTGAGTCAATAAAGTTGAAGGAAGTGCTTAAATATGAACTTTCAATTTATTTTCAGATGACTCAATAGGCTTTGGTCAATTACTCCGCCTGATCTTGTATACAGTGGTCTCTCTAATACGCAACCTATACTAAGATTTTATTAAAATTGATTTGCCGACATTTTTTTGATTTTTTTTAGGGGCTTGAAGGAGGTGTTTCGATGGGTTGCGCCTGAACCTCGGTGCGCTTTGGTTATTAAGAATCTGTAACACTTGCTGGTGATAGTAATTTTTTACACCAATTTGTTTCATATTTCTAGGTTTGATGGTACAAAGCTGTGGTTTGCGCAAACCGAGTAACGTTTTAATTGGCATAGCCGTGGATGGGCCGGAGATATCGAGGAGGAGTGAGGCACTTTTAAGATTAGAAACGGTGCGAGAAATTGACCTTTCGTATCAAAATATCTTTAGTGAACAGACTTTAAATATGAGATCATTCAATCTTAGAGCCTTCTTTTGGCTTTGCAAGTTGGATTTAAGCCACAATCAACTGCACGAACTCCCTTTCGCAATTGGTTCTCTACCTTTCCTGACCCACTTGTTCCTTCATGACAATTACTTGTCATCACTACAGCCTGGAATTTTTAAACAACTGGTAAACCTGCAAGAGCTGGACTTGAGGAATAACAAATTAAACAACTTTTCTTTGGATATCACTGAGCTGAGGTGTCTTCGAATTCTAAGTGTTCAAGGAAATCCTCTAAAAGATCATGAAACAAGAAAACTGATGAAGCTCGCCCATAATGAGAGATGGATAGATATTGCAGGTGAATGTAAAATCCATAGTAGAACTTTGGTAAAGTTGTGGACTACTATACAGTAAAACGTCTTCACAACTGCCCTCTTGGGTTATTGGGCGGTCATCCGTGATGTAATATAACACCAGGTTTACATTTGGAAAGGATACAATAGTTTTAGCTTCAAAAACTCATGAGTCAGCTCAATTCAGCGATGCTTGGTGGTTAGGGCATTATTAATACGTAACACAATCAATACATATGCATTATTGACCAAGTTCGAGATGACCGGATAAGCCAAGTTCCTTTTTGCGTCATTATGGACCGAGATAAAGTCCAGGTCGATATGAATGCAAGACAGATCTATGCCAAAGCTTTGAGCCATCTTGGCCGAACAAGCTTTGTCAAGCTTGGCCGGGAAAGGAAATACGTAGCCATTGCTGAAAGTTAGTTGTTTTTAGAAGTTTGACTGGAAGGGGTTAATGCAGTCATGCTTACTGTATTAGAAGATGACTTTTCTTTGTTCAAAGAGCTTTTTGCCCCGGGGAGTACTTTAGGACCTTTTGGGTTGGGATGTGCTACTAGGACCCTGGAACCCTTAGCCTCTACCAGAGCTAGTTAAGTGAATTTTGCTACCATATACTAGACTGAACGCCCCAAATCTCCCTATCCTAGAGAAGCTGTTTTCCAAATACTACTGAGGGCACTAGCACAGTCCAGCCAAAACAAAACCGATTTGATTTTTTTATATTCTTGAGTGGCAATTCCCGGTACAGTTTCCTTAGTCTAGACTAAAATCTTCAACCAATTGATCAGTTTCCTGGAAAATGATACCCTATTCTACAATGTAGACCCAAATTCTCTGATTTAAATACCCTATCCTAGAGTAAACTGTTTGAAAGCCATACCCTTCACAGAGGCACACATCTATATAGCCCATATATTGCAGAACACCCCCGGGCTTTTTCCCCGAGAAGAACTGAATCAAGACTACTTATTCACCATAACTACAACGTTCAGCCTGTTGCGATTATTTTGCGTTTTTGTCTGGTTTATATGTCTAGTGAAAAGGTTATAGGCGTTTGTCTGTACTATCGAATATAATGGTCTCTCCGATTAATGCCGTTTGTATTTGTTGTTTATACTTAGGGTCTGTTTACATGGAGATGTGAGGTAACATGTGACGGGTCACCCCACATATCATGTAAAACATGATCTAATTAAAATAAGTGATTATATGGACAGGCGGGTTACCTTGGATCCCCCACCTCCATTTTAACAGGCCCTTAGACTAGTAATAACCAAAGGTTACGGAGTATGGGCGACAACGATCGAAGGTCAAAACGTTTCCGCTCAAATGCTGTGCTTTGCGTAACTTTGACGTGATAGATGATCAAAACACGCGTGATAAAATTACAAGTGCCAAGGTCCGAACGCGCGTGATCACAGATTGCCTTCGATGAATTCCATTCACTCTTAGTTGAAGTCCACACGAAGCTGGCCACACACGCGCGGAGCATGCGTAATAGCCACCTGGAGATTACGATTGCGGGGCCCTCCTGTCGCACGCAATTAACAGATTTAAAAAACTCCTCCCAAATCAAGAATAAACAAATGATTAGCTTCTCCGCCACGACTTCGAAGAAAATATTTGCTTGGCGCGGCTGACACATAGCTTTCCCACATGCAGTTTCAGTGTGCCCGATCTGGTCAGTTTTGTTCCTTGGTATGTGGCAAGTGCGCTTGAGTTGGGAGGTATGAAATGATAATTGGGTTAATAGTTAAGTAGCATCACGATGTTTAAAGTCTGTTTTTTGCTAAGTTCATTTCTGCAATATAATGACCTCTAATCTCGTAAATCGTGAGTTAGGAATGCCAATTTTTCTTTTAAAACTTTGATATTTGACACTGTTACTTGTATTAAAACTGCAAGATAATATTTGCATCGCATTTTATATTGTAGCTGGAGTTCCAAAAGAAATTCTCTTCAAAGGACAACGTACAATGCGGATGTATCAAAAGGCCCTAAGAGATGGCTTTGTAAATGTTTACAGGGGTCGCATTTTTCTGATCGGTCAGGATCGTGCTGGAAAAACTAGCCTAAAAAAGTCACTGTTGGGTGTGCCATTTGACCCACAAGAAGAAAGCACTGAAGGAATTGACCCTTCAAAGTGTGATATTGATGTTAATCGAGTTCAAAACTGGCATTTCGACAGCAAAAATACGATTTTGTCTGAAGTTTCTGAGCAAATTTCAAGGTCGTTGGCCTTGGAATTCTTTCCTTCTGAAGCCTCTGAGCAAATTTCAAGGTCGTTAGCAGTGGAACACTTTCCTTCAAGTCCTCGAATAGCACGTGATGGTTCAGCTTTGAGGTTGAATGGAGCATCATCTAGACAAGGATCCAGAGAAAAAGAAATGATAGCGTCAAATGTCTTCTACGTGAAACTTGGAAAGGTTAGTATTCTTTCAAAACCTAATCCTGTCTGAAAATCATGTTAAAGACTGAACTGCATTTAATGTATGTACTGTGATGTCGCGGATGAGGGACTTCATGTATGTCAATTGTTTAATAAAGATTGTGTATAAGAGCTTGATTTAAACTATCTGTGAAAATAGAAAAAAAATACATTGTAGCTATCGCTAAGTGCCAATGACGGGAAAAGAATCGGATGAACAACTCTGCTCTGACTGTTGAATCCGCACAATTACAATCTTGCCAAGACATGATAAAATTGCGAACCAAATGTCGCGTTCTGATTGGTTCTTCTGTGAGCTCTTTGTTACCTTAACTTACCTTACACATCAGTCGAGGTTTTTTCCCCCTGAACAGTTCCTCGCGCATCGCTTTTAAAATTTATATTATTTGTGCCCGATGCATTTAAAAAAAAAAAAAAAAACATCGTAGCCTGGGACCAGGCGCCGCCCTTTCCCTATCCCCAGGCCTCCGCTGGGCTTGCTTCGCTCGCTGATATTTTTCCCATTTGACCCCGTTTTTTCCCTTTTCCCCCCACTGTGGAGCCTGGTCCCAGGCTAAAAAAACCGAAGCACCAAAGTATCAGGTACAACAAATATAGATATTTTTTAAATTTTGTTTCGGATCCCTGTGATGATCAGTTTGCTGTTATTTCTTCAATTCCTTCAAGAGTTTCCCGGCAAAATAGGACAATTGCACGATGACGTCATTTTACTACAACTACCAGAATCCTTGAGTTTGTTGTTTTCTTGTGCAAATTAAGGCTATTGTTCCTTAATCCTCAGCAGGATTGACAAATTTAAATAACAAAGCAAAACCGAATTGAATTCTGGTAGTTGTAGTCAAATGTCGTCATCGTGCAATTGTCCTGTTGTAAGCATGTCTCGTTTAAACAAACAAATTATTCGTAGGTTAACGAAACCGAATATTGTTCCCAGGAAGCAAAAGCACACAGTTCAACAAGACAGGTTAAAAGTGGGGGTTCCCTAGTGACTGGTGATGATGATGATGATCAAACTACAGTTACAGTTCCTGCTGAGGTTACCAAATATACTACGGAGTATTTAAAGCAGTTATTTCTACAAGGTCAACAAGCTGCCCATGATAACAACAGAGAGGATCCCATTGTAACCTTAGAGTTATGGGATTTTGCAGGACAGCACCTTTACTATGCTTCCCATCCTGTCTTTTTCTCACCACGAGGAGTGTATGTTCTTGTTCACAACCTGAGCAAGCCACTTGATGCCCTGGCTGAACCCTGTGTTAGACAGGGAGTTCATGATATATTTTTAGAAAACCCTAATGGTGAAACAAACATGGAGAATTTACTGTCATGGCTTGTTACGGTTCATGGTAGCAGACCAATAGGCGGAGAATGTGTTGGCAACACCGAAAGAGAAGACCTGGCTTACCTTCGGCCTCCAGTTATCATTGTTGGTACACATGCGGACAAGCCATTTAAGCGGGACATTAACGAAATTACGTCACAGATTCAGCGGGAAATTTCTGGTAAGGAGTATGAGAAGCATGTTATCAGGCCATTCTTCAATGTTGACAACACGAAGGGTGACAAATCTATGGTCAGACGAATGAGGAAGTTTCTTGGGAAGCGCCTTAAAAGAGGCCCACAGGCAGGTATAGTCCTCGAATGTACAGGTAGATTAACAATGCGTCAGTGAACTAAGGGGTCAAACAGAATTTAAATTAAGCTTTTTCATTGGTAAATGTGAAAATTAAAGAGATGACTAAATGTGACTACTGTAAAAAGCCATTCAGTTTACGCCTTTCGCAAAGTTACTAGATCCTGGGATGAAACTTTTCAGGTCTGAGGGCCTCCTGGTGAGAGGGGGGGGGGGTCGTGTTCCCTTGTTCCCTAAACTGATTTGAAGTTTCTTCCTTGTTCCCCGAAGATTATTTGATATGTTCTCCGGAATCGAATTGTGCGTAGTTTACTTGTTTTCGGTTGTGTCTAACCAATAGCATGAAGAATACCTTAGTACTGCCGCAACCAAGTAACGACATCTCAACTTACTGCGAGAAAACAGAGAAACAGTGGAAATGTCGTCCGATAAGGTTCTGATAATATAGCTGTACAGATGAAATATTCTTCCAAGCTAGAAAAATCAATGTTTCCCTGTTCCCTGGAAAACTAAATTATAAAAAGGTATACCTTTTCCGCTGAAAGTAAATGGTCATATTTCCTTCTTCACCCAAACCTCTGGGAGGCCGTAGCGTGTTATAGTTCTACTAGGTAATAAAGTAATGGACTGTTAAATGCCCTCTTGATCAGCATTAAGCAGACCCTGCCAATCTAGACGACCCATCTCAGCTGCTCTTAAATACCTTATATTTTGATATCACACTGACATTTATCAAATCAGCAAATACTTTGTAGAAACACGCCAACAGATCGCAAACCACCAACCAAAATAACAGAAACAAACAAACATTACATGAAAAATTCCCCCATCGTGTAAGCTTCTATAATCCTACAGTATTAGTTGAACAATTGGCAGTTAGACTATCGCTAGTATTTTTTTTTTTTTCAGATCCCATGAAAACGAAAAATGGCGGCAATATATAATCTCATAGTGGCTTGTAACTGATTATTAAAAAGCTATTTAGGAAAAAGAAAATCGTAACATTCTTTTGTAATTTAATGTGCACCAATACACACAGTGACTGGGCTTAATGTGTTTTTTTTCAAGGGCAAGAAGATGACAGTGTCAGTACCGAAAGTGATACCATCGATGCCTTGCGTGCTAAAATCATGGAAGTGTTGAGACAAGAGCCATACATGGGGGAAAGGATACCAACTAGGTGAGTACTGTTTTGATGACAGTCATGTGAAATGAAGTTTTCGCGCATCAAATTCTCGCAAATTTTGCTTTTTCCCATCTTTTCGCCCAAACTGATTCCTTATCTAAAGTTGATGGGCATTGTCTTGACTGGTTTTTCCAAAAAAAGGGATCTGATTTTGATCTGATTGGCATGTGTTCAGGTTCTTTTTGGTTTATGCTAGTCTGTGATAATTCCAGCAAGATATTATTAGGTCATTTTGAAAAATTCTTCATAAAGTATCAAATCGATTGTTCTGTATTTTGTTTGCGTTCGACGTCAGGAGAGCGCAACCTTACCTAAACGCGCGGGAAGCCTGGACACGAGCATTTTGCACAAAGAAACTCGTTGTTTGGTAGTTTGGGTCACGTGCCGAATACTGAAATGCGTCATAGACCTTAGACTTCCCGTTCCCAGAGCCCATCGTTTTCTTAAGTGACGTAATCTTTTAAACGAGTGCTTCGAGGGAAAACGTGTTTAGAAATACTACAGAGGACATTAAGAACGCTCAACTTGAAACGACAGCAATAAACAGCTGGAAATCTCATTATCGTAACTTAGCTGCTTGAAGAAAAATCTTATTAAACATCTTGATAGGCTCGATTGCCAGCCTTTTTGTGCACCCTTCTAGTAAGAGGTTTTTTAAATCTTTAAATGCAGTGTTCAGCTCATAGGAGCCATTAGGAGAATAAGATCAGTTATTGTATTTTAATTTCTTGTACTGGTAAGAGCTATTTTATTTAAATTCATTGTTTGATACTATAACGACGTTTATATTACACTCGTGTTACGGTTATCAAAAAAATGTTTAAAAGCATTGACGATACTGTTAGTATTTCGATCTTGATATAAGAGAAATTCGCTCTGTTAAACCCATCTCCCAAGTCACAAAAAAAGTTAATTTGGTCCATTCTATAGGAGTACTTAGTTTAGCAGATGAATAGAGATTATGCTAAATTCAGATTCTACTTCTGTTTTGCGGAATTCCTCGGGACAGCTATAGATGGATGCCAATGACCAATCCTTTTTGGAGATATTTGCCCAAATGTTTGTGGTGGAACTGTTAGGGAAAGAGAGATGGGAAACACCAAAATAAAAGTGGCGACTGATCGATACGCTGGTGGTGATTAGATGCTGCCCATCAGGGCTTAAAGGAGTTTTATTGTTGATATTCACGCTCTTCATGAAGCGACGTGGAATTCAATTACAAGCTGTACGAAGAAAGGCTGAAAAGATCAATTCATTGCAAGATGGTCAAACCCTTTTATAAAAAAATATAATTAATATCATTACATCAAATTGCTCAAAAAAATGAACACCGGAACGAGTAAGGGAAATGCAATCCATGGGCGGTACATTGACTCCTTAAAAGCCAAAGTTAGATTTATTCTAATAAATCTACTCGGCCTCCGTAGAAAAGCATTCGTAGGCTAAAAAGTGATATTATAAAGAGGGACTTTAAGGTTAGCGTACGGATACAAAGCCGAAGGGATTAGTTTTTTCTGCGTTTGCAATAGAACTCATTTGCTGCAAACGTGTATGACCTATGACTGTTTTTAAGATGTCTTTTGAATGCGATATTGTTCTTTGTTAAACTTTGTAGGTGGGCCCATTTTGAGAGTGTACTTGAGGAGTTGGTGGCTCAGGGAATTCATTATAAGACTGTGGAACAACTTCAAATTTCTGCTAGGAAAGATTGCTTCATTGACGATGATGACGAGTTTCAAACAATGTTAAATTTCTATCATGACCTCGGCTTGATTATAAAACACAGGAGCACGGTTGTTCTGGAGGCTAAATGGCTGATTGACCTGTTTAAAGAGCTGATTACCATTCCTCGTTTTGATAAAGCGGTGAGAAAAAAAAAGCAGAAGAAAGATTTTCATAATTTCAAGATATAAGAGGTTTTTTCCAGTTGATACGTTGGCTACACAACTTACGCGACGTACTAAGCAAAACGCAGGATTCTGCTCCCCTAAATTCTAATTGTAATCTTAATTGATAACGTTCACTGTCTTCATTTGTGACATCGTTATGGCATGGTAGAGATATATGTCTTCGTTTAAGCGAAGTTTGGTAAATTTAGAGTTACCCGTTTTGCACGCGAACAAAAATTAAAAGTTACATTCACAACATATTTTTAGTAGGTCGCATCATGTAGGTAACGCACGTTATTTGAAGAATGCGTTATAATAACCTGAAACTGTGAATCGTGTCGCATCAATTAAACCTACGAAACTTATGAGCAAGCAGTTGGTGTGATTTAGACACTGAGATTCACATAAGAGATTTACTTATACTGCAAGAGTCAACCTTAAGATATACGTCTTGGTTGCTGCTAAGCCTGGAGATCCTAACACTACATATTTTATTACTTTTAGAACCCTCTTTTGTCAACCTGTTGGCAGAAAGTTGAAAAGAGTGGCGTTCTCTGCATGGAACTTGTCAGTCACGTGTTTTCCAAGTTTGTTGATCAAACCATTGTCAAGGAAGACATTTTGGATATGATGGACCAGTTTGGTTTGATTGCGAAATTTTCATCAAGCACCTCTGGTACCACGTACTTTGTACCCGCGCAGCTCAAGACCCCACCCACAGAAATTTGCAAACTACACCCTACCCCAGCTGATCCATGTCCAATATATCTTCATTTCCGAGGTGGGTTTGTTCCGAAAGGTCTCTTCGTACGCCTTGTTTCTAGTTCTATTTCCTGGTGCTGTAAGACTTGGCAGGAGACACCACCTCCTACTCTGTACCAAAATGGTGCTCATTTCGTCATTGTCGGCAAGCAGATCATCTATGATTTTATTCTTCTTTGCAAGAAAAGTTTTATCAAGATTGCGCTGAAGCAAAGAATTGAAGATGAAGAGCCAGTTTCAGTGTCTGAATCAGTTGAAATACCAAGTCGCGTTCGTGTCTTCATAGACGACACTTTACAAAAATTGTCTCACGAGTTGCCATGTCTTAGCGAGTTGCAGTACGAGTTATCCGTTGCGTGCCCCTACTGTCTGGCTGAATGTCCAAACCACCGGGAAGCTGCATGTACCCAAGAGGAGTGTTTACACTTTTTTGAATTAAAGGAAGGGCAGCGGCTGATATGCACGAAGAGCGTTCGTGATCATGTGAGGAGGGTTCTTGGGATGGAAAAGTGGCTTTCTTTAAGAAGAACCCAGGTAAAATAAATAAAATGTAGTATGAAATGACGTGAAGTAACCTTTTGCGATGTTGACGTTAACAATACTAACCTGCGAAGCTGGCCACCAAGGTGAGCGACAAGCGTGCTCGAACGAGTGCTCCCCTCCATTGTCCCTCCCCAACCAAACCCGCTAGCTACTGGTCAGAGCGGGACTTGGAATCTGAACCTCCGGATGACAAGTCATGTGCGTTGACCTCTCAACTAATCTAACACCGTTTTTGTGGACAATGATCTCAACATTATATACCGGGGAGGTGAATTAGTTGTATTCCGTTTTACTGTGGTCGGGGGAGGGGGGTTAAACGAAGTTGGTCTCGTATGGGTAAAAAAATTACGTTGACGGAAAAAGCCTATCCTGCCCATATCTGGCACTTTTTTAGAACAAGTTTCCTTTACATTGAAGTGGAAGTAACTTTGCTTTCATATCTGAATAGCCAGAAACGTTTAAGATAACTTAACTTTTGCCCTGTTTCATCAAAGTTACCGATACCATTTTTAACAGTTTGTAAACTTTTTCAAGTCAGCTTAATTTATATTTATATTCTTTTTGCTTTGGTGTTGACAAGAGCTGAAAACTTAAAAGGTATCCAAAATTTGCGGTGCTGTAGCTGAAACCGAGTGCATACGTACTGTTTCGAAGAGAAAGTACCGCACAGATTTTCTCAAATTCCATAATTAATTAGTCTTCCTCTATCGTACGTTTAACGTTCTTTTACCATTTTTTGTAAACCATGTAAGTCTCGGTAGAGAAGACTTAAAAGAAAATGTTACAACACTTCAGCAACCAGGCAAGTGCGTTATGACCCCTTTAACTCAATCGGTGGTGAAATCAGTATTCACTTTGTCAAACGTATTGCTCTTTTGGTAGGTGCAGTATACTCCCCGTTTTCTTGGCACATGGCAAGATAGAGGAGGTGAAAGTGACCCAGTGGAATCTGTTAAAGCACTGAATGTTACTTTGTTGGCGAGTGAGTGGGGCTCATCCATGGGTGGCTTGTCGACAATAAACAGAAATCTCGCCATTCTACTTGCGAAGCACAGCTTAGTCAACGTTACCCTTTTGGTGCCACAATCTTCTTGCAGCGAGGAGGACAGGAGAGACGCTGCGAAACAGAACATTGTCATTCGGGAAGCAGAGAGGCAACCAGGCTACCATGATCCTCTTGACTGGTTGAGCGTGCCACCCGAAAACCTTGCTATCGACATCGTCCTGGGCCATGACGTAAAGTTGGGAAAACAAGCCCCAGTAATTCGGAAGTCCCACGGCTGTAAGTGGGTGCAGGTGGTCCACACTGCACCTGAACAACTGGGAATGTTCAAGAACTATCACAACGCGGTTGCCAAAGGTGAAGAGAAGGACAGAGATGAAGTAGACTTGTGCAGACTAGCAGATCTTGTTGTGGCAGTAGGACCCAAGTTGAGAGAAGCCTATTCATCCCGCCTGCGGGTTTACAAGAAACACCAATGTATCTTCCAGCTTACTCCAGGTACTTTCCATGAATTTTCAATGCTAGAGCAAGCTACACTGGAAGAAGGGAAGTTTAAGGTTTTAACCTTTGGCCGCGGTGATCCTGAAGACTTTGGTCTCAAAGGATATGACATTGCCGCCAAAGCAGTGGTTGAATTGAAAGATAGCTCTTACTGCCTGGTGTTTGTGGGCGCTCCCATTGGGAAACAAGACGAGGTCGCCCAAAACTTGCTCAAGACTGGAATTGCTGAAGACCAGCTTATTGTTAGAGCATTTGTACAGAGCAAAGAAAGGTTAAAAGAGTTGTTTTGTGAGGTTGACCTTGCCATCATGCCTTCCAGAACAGAAGGTTTCGGATTAGCAGCTCTGGAGGCGTTGTCTGCTGGTCTCCCCATTCTGGTGAGTGGGAATTCAGGATTCGCACATGCACTATGCGATTTACCCTCAGGAAAATCGTTTGTGGTGAATTCCAACGACGCCATGGAATGGGCGAAAGCAATTGCTGCTGTTCGCCAAAAAGAAAGAGTGCAACGTCTTCAAGAAATCCAAATCTTACGTGCTAGCTACGAAGAGAGGTACAACTGGGAGGAGCAGTGTGGAGCCCTTGTTGAGAAGATGTGGAATATGGTCCAGGGTAAGTGCTTTGTTAATAAAGTACTATTATAATACTGTACCCCCCCCCGTTTAACATTTGGTGACGTGGCACAGTAGACGAGGAGATGACTTTGCATGTTGGAGGTCCGGGGTTCTCTCCCGACTGGGGAAATGTTTTTCCCTTTTTTTGGCTGTTTTGTTTTTGTTTTTGTTTTTCACCATACTTTTTTCTTACTTTTCGACTGGTTCTAATTTATTTACACTGCTGCCCTTTCTTTACTCGTTCGCGAGGTGTTGCGGTAAACGTATTTCTAGTTCCTATTGTTAAAGCTTATAATTAAATACTTCCTATTGAGTAAGTTGGGATCATATATAAGCTTTGATTTTGAAATATGGCGACAAAATAAAAACTAAAGGAACGAAACAATTATCATGGCTTAGCTCCTTCTCCTATGTTGATAAGTAAAGGCCAAAGGCATATGTCACAATTTCCACTATGTTCCAGCTTCCTTTATTTCCAAAGTAAAAATACGTACGTGGAATGTTAGAATGTAAAACTGCAGTAAAAATAGTAGCCTGCGTGGCAGACGCAAAAAGGGGAGGGGGAGGGGGAGGTGGAAGGGAGAAAAACGCTTACCCTCTCTCCCCAATCCCCTCCCTTTTTCCCTTCCTCCCTATCCCCTACCCCTTTCGACGCCTGCTACGCAGGCTATAAAAACAGTTGAACGCAAATGGGTTCCCCGTAGGAGTTTCATTTGCCAGCTGGTTGAGTTTTGAAAATACCGTCGATGAATGGTAAAATTGAGGGTAAAAAATTGTGACCATGTCGTTTAAAAATAAAGAAAGTACGATACAAGTAACGATTTGTTGTCCTCCGGCCTCATTCACCAGTGGGAGAAAAGATGCCTGTAGATTAGTAGTGCCGACACTTTCTGTAACTAAGTCTATGCTCACACTATGATACGGATCACAGCTTTTGCACGGGCACGAAAATCATACCGGAAAGGGCGTCTGTTGACACATAAAAACGGTGATTTTGGCGCGATTTCTGTATCGGGGCGAAGCTGCACCGCGCCGGTGATGAGAGAGCATCGTCCATATTGGATAAGTTTCTGTCGGCATAGTGTAGACAAAGCCTATATGAAACATTTAAGTTATTAACAAGAGAGTCCTCTCTTGGTCATCAAAGTATACCTAACTCTAACTTTCTGAGACATTTCAAGAGTTTACCTTCATGTGCGATCTTGCTTTAGATCCCAAGTTTTAGGTTAAGTTAAATCGTCTTTACTCATATAGGTATAGATGAGATGTCTTGATAAGCACAGTGTCTGAGGTCCAACGAACTGTGCCGTCGTTTGTGTCCTTCGCTGTTTGCTTGTCTTCTTTAACCTGCAGCGCGTTTGTTATTTCTTTGTTTCCCTTAGAGAACTAGAAAGAAAGTCAATCTCCTGTGGAGCAAAATCTCCTCTGACTTAACAACAGAAATGAACGGTATGCCCGGGCTGAGTTCATCTTCAAGATGCGGAACCAGGGCAGAACCATGTAATTCTTTGACTACATTTACAAGTATACTCATTCGCCTCATGAGAAGAAAACTGCCAGCTTAAAAAACGTTTATCAGTAAGGACTTTTAAGTAGTTTAAATGAGTTGATTAATCTCATGATTAGAGAAAAGACCTACATTATTGGAAAGTACAGGTATTTTTATAATTTGTAGTTAGGTTGAAAAAGGTCCTTCCATTAGTTAATTAGTGAAAGTAATTCAGAAACTGAGTAACTATTCTAGGTTTTTGGAAACTGACCCGAATACGACTACATGCCCCTTCCTATGGTTATCTGGTCTCCGAATAGGGTCGATTCGCGCGCTCTGTTCAGAGTTTTGAACTTATACATGTAGTTAGCACTGATAATTCGAAGGGAAGGGTTGGGTGGATTTAAAATAAGGTAAAGACAATTTTACGTAAAGCGTTTATTCTATTACTTAGACAGCATATTCAGTATTTTTGCAGGACATGTTCGTAGAACCGATTTTTTTTAGAGACTTTCTATTGAAAGGGAAAAGCGGAGAAATCAAATTCTCCCTTAATGACAGGAGTTTAACGTTCATAGATCAACAACATGAATATAATTTCATTTTGTAGAGAACAGAAAATTTAGACATGTCGGATTAAGGGGGAGGGGGAAGGGAGAACCCATTCCCTCCTCTCTTAGGGAGGTTTCAACATGGCGCTTTCGCGAGCAAAAACATTTGCGCGCCCGAAGAAAACGCCTGTACTGCAGGCTACGTTAAACAAACTAAGGAAAAAATTGAACACACCGAATAATGCTAGAAGGAATGCACTTTAACTAACACATCGCTTGCAAATAAATTATATGTGTTATATTGACGGTATTGTTGTCATTCCATTGTTGCTTTACTGATGGATCGATTTGGGTCCCGGGGTAGTGTAGGAGTTGCTCGGTAAGTCTCTCCTAATTGGTCGCAGGAAACAATGACATGTGAGTTGGGACTCGAAATTGAAGGCGTGTATTCAATACTGAAAAGAACCACCCCAACTGTACGAAATTTAGTCGCTTAGCCGTACAAAGCTCTTTGCGAATAGAACAAATATATTGAACGGAACGGCCCCGTGTGAAGGAAGTGTCCGGTTAAATTTATCAGTCGGTCGAAAATTAGGCCTGTTTACATAGAGGTTGGGGCACCCCAGGTAGGTGAGGTAACCCGCTTATGTGGAGTAACCCACCTCTCCATATGATAGGGAGCTTAATAGGGAGCTTAAGCAACAACGTTTTTGAGCGACGCACGTCAACCGGAAGTGGCCTTTTTTCATTTTTTGACGGTGGTTTCGCGCAAATTTTCAGTCAAATCGCCTCTATAACAGTAAAGAAGCTAAGGAATACAAAGTTTATATCATCAAGGCATGTTAAGAGGGAAAATACCTCACTTCCAGTTGACGTGCGTCGCTCAAAAACGTCGCTGCTTAAGCTCCCTATTTAAGCAACGACAACGTCAAAAAACAATTGGTTTTATGAGCAAAACAACTGCTCTGCACGTGCTTCACGCTTTTTAGAACATTTCTTTGACGTCCACTGCACGACTACAAAGTGAAACGTCCCAATGCGACGTTTTATGGAAGACGTGGACATACGACGACAAATGTTCCTTTCTTAATCTGAACATGGATGAAGCCCTTAAGAATTTAACTCCAGGAAAAGTCACCTACATTTTACGAATTGAGCGGTTCCAAAAAGACGCGATAAAGTTGGATAAAGTTTTTTAGTGATGTTTTCACTGCCGTCCTCGTCGTTGTTGCTTAAGCTCCCTAGACTACGAGTAGTCCCCATTTTTCCTCAGGGATAGTAGAGCAAGCGAAATGCGAGCGCGCGTGAAAATCACCTCACGCGAGAAAGGCGAGGCGCGGTGGGGAGAGAGAAAACTCACCGCCGCGTCTCGCCTCTCTCGCGTGTGGTGATTTTCACGCGCGCTCGCATTTCGCTCGCTCTACTATCCCTGAGGGAAAGTGGGGACTACTCGTAGTCTGTAAGCTCCCTAATCTCTCATTTTAATTTCATTGCGTTTACATGATAGGTGGGGTGACCTGCCGCATGTTACCTCACCTGTCTGGGGTGTACACAAATATGGCCTTTGTCCGGTGTCGCGTGAATGTAGCCGTAGCATCAAACTCGCTGTCGACTACGAGTAGTCCGCATTTTTCCTCAGCAGGGATAGTAGAGCGAGCGAAACGCGAGTGCACGTGAAAATCACGCCACGCGAGAAAGGCGAGACACGACAGTGAGCGAATCTTGCGTGGGGTGATTTTCAGGCGCGCTCGCGTTTCGCTCGCTCTACTATCCGTGAGGAAAAATGGGGACTACTCGAAGTCTAACTCGCTGGGCCGGTCATTTTAAACGGAGGTTAGCCAGTATTTAACGAAACCGCGTTCGATCTAAGCCATAAGTTTGCCCATTGCTTTCTTCTAAGTCTTGTTTATATCGACAGTGTAATGAAAGCATATACAGTGTAGTGTGGACTAGAAAAGCTTTTATCTTCTTTAAATATCCCACGTAGAATACATGATTTCTTAAATCGGGGCTTAAATTATACATCGTTTAAATAATTGACTCTGTGTTTTAAGGATCAGCCTTACTGGGAATGAGGACTCACTGAGCATCAGTTGAAAAGGGTCTTTGAATAGAAGCCTTGGTAGCATTTTTTTTTTTTTGGCTGTTTTACGTGGAGATCGATTTACTCCTGAATTTTAAAGTTGCTTCTTCTAGAGCTCTGGGTGATTCTGGAGGGCTCCTTGAAGTTTACATACCTGTTCACAGAAGCGATCTATTTTCTTTTTAACAAATAGATCGTTTTCACAAGTCGTCACGGCGGCCATATTTGTGTACAAAACAATGAACCGGCGGCCATGTTTGTGTACACAAAAAATCCTGTGGGAATTGAACTCTTTTCACATGTTAAAACTTTCTTTTATTCCAAGCAATTTGCAAAGCTGCTGACCACGTGACTGAAATCGATGTATAGATTCCATGTTGCCGTGCGTTTGTTCATTAATAGATCACAGATGACGTCAAAATGTAGTAGAAACAAAGAAGTGGCACACGAGCCGCAGGCAAGTGCATCACTGATGTTTTTACCACATTTTGACATCTTCTGTGACCTATTACTGAACTGACCCATGGCAACATGGAATCTATTTGTTTTATAGCGGAGTTCCTTACGAGCGTAGCCCCATACCTAAGAAAATGCGGTTATCTGCCCGTCCGAAAAATTTTGGTAATCACGTGCCCGTACGCCCGTCCACCCGCTGTCCGTCCGCACCACAGGAATACCAATGTAAAATAACTCAATCAACAGGTATGGCAACCCAAATGCAACTCGAGGTTATTTTGATTGGAGAAAATCGAAAAAAGTGGGGCAGGAATGGAGCACAGGGGAGTTTGCACTGGTGGAGGAGTGTGGATAAAATCCCCCTAAGTGTGACCACACTGAGACTGAACAACTCAAACGCGGTGAATTCTAACACTGAAAAACGGCTGTTGTTTTACTGACAAGTAGATAA